TCAGGCAATCCAATCACCTCAGCCTCCCAAAGGCGCGGGATTACAGGCTGAGCCACTGAGCCCGGCTTGTGAGCACATTTTAAAGCCATTGCAGAAGGTTCTTGGCCAGGGTTAAGGGACTATAAAATGCATTTTGATTGCCTATATGAAAAAAAAGTTGAATTTTACGAGGTCCATACACTTCACAGAAATCAGATACCCACAGAACCTCCAAAACTCTCAGAGCTGAGATCAAGAATTTCACTATAATATACTATAATACAAACAGAATGTAATTGACACCCATACTTTACTTTTTTTTCTTTTCTTTTGAGTCAGTCTCACTCCGTCACCCAGGCTGGAGTGCAGTGGCATGCTCATGGCCAAAGCAGCTTCCACCTGTTGGGCTCCAGCAATCCTTCCGCCTCAGCCTTCCAAGTAGCTGGAACTACAGGTGCACACTACCACGCCCGACTAATTTTTTGATATGTTGTAGAGACATGGTCTCACCAAGTTGTCCAGGCTGGTCTCGAATCCCCAGGCTCAGGCAATCCTTTCGCCCTGCGCTTTCTGTGCTGGGATGACAGGCTTGAGTCACGGTGCCCGGCCACACTTTACTCTTAAAAGAAGAAAGGACACATCAGATGGGAAGACATTATCCCCTATTGTGCAAGCCTGTTTCCCAATGAATCAGTTGTTACTTCATGGGAAATGCTGTGTGTGTGTGTGTGTGTGTATGTGTACAGATAAACGGAAACAACATTTAATTTCAGGCTCCACTAGTAACATGCAGGGAATGGGAAGAACAAGGGTGGCCAAGATGGGAGAGGACAAAAGTGTTTCATCTCCAATTACATAAAACTGCATAAATGCAGCAGCTAAGATTGTGGTGGGGGCCTGCCAGCTGAAAGTAGAAGGGATATCAGCAAAGAACTGGAAAGGTCTAATAGTCAAAGGTCTCAAAGTCCTCTATGTTCTACTGAGATGATTGTTTTTAGCAAGTGTTTGGGTCATATAGACCGGGTGTCTGCAGTGTGGACGCCAGACCTGCCTGCTTTCTGTCTATGGAAATAAAGCTTTATTGGAATACAGCCATGCTCGTCTCTGCACATCCTGTTTCTGGCTGCTTCTGCAGTACACCGAGAGTGGAGCAATATCAAAAGAGCCCCTGTGGCCTGAGGAGACTAAAATATTTACTAGCTGGCCATTACAAGAAAGGTTTGCCAACTTTTGCTGTAGATAAAATGATGTGGACACAAGAGTATTCAACTTTAGGGTATTCGCTGAGCTTTGATCACTGATTCTTTGGACCTCAAGAACAGATGCAAGGGGAAAAGAGATGGGTGAAAGAAAAAAAAAAAGGATACCACTATTTCGTTGTTTATTAAAACTTGCTATATTTGGGGCAAAATGAGTAAATGTAAATCAAAAGTATTACCTTTATCATGCTTATATTGTTCTGTACCATAAAAAAATATAACGCTGAAATAAGTCCGTTGCCAGGCTCGGTGGCTCAGCCTGTAATCCCAGCGCTTTGGGAGGCTGAGGTGAGTGGATTGCCTGAGCCCTCGGGGTTCTAGACCCGCCCGGGCAACTTGACGAGACCTCATCTCTACAATAA